GAATAGCAAGAGAAAGAAATCTGAAACATGTTTCATTCTTTTATATATCTCAAGTAATTTTTTAAATCATTATTTAAGCCTTTTTATCCTCAGACCTTTATAACTTGCTTTTACATGTTTTAATAACTTGTATTATATATTTTTAAAAAAAAAACTTTTTTATATTTTTATATCTAAAACCTTTACATCTTATATCCTATATAAACCTTATTTATATTTAAACCTTATAATTTACTTAAACTTTAAAGTTAGGCTTTAAAGTTCCACTATTATTATTTTTTTTTACTTCAAACTATTTACTTAGACCCAAAATATCATATACTCAAATCCTCATGACATGCTTAAGCCTTTAAATTTTTACATCTTAAACTGCTTTCTCTAACCAAAAAAATCATTTATTTAAACTTTTATCCTTATATCTTAAGCCTTTATATTTTTATAAAAACATTATATCTTAAAATATTTTTTTTATCTTAACCAACAATAATTTGTACCCAATTCTCTTAAATGATGGCAAGTATTTGTAACCCATTGAACTCAAATGACCAAAACCCATGTAAATTTTTATTTTTCCTGTGGAAACAAAAGCATAATTTTTCCAGTATCTTGAACTGGTAATTTAACATTTCTTTTTTAAGCAATATCAGGACAGAGAAGGGTTAACAAGAGAAGTTGCTGGCTGGCAGAAGAGACCTTGAAGTTATCACAGTAAAGGAAGGGAGGGGGAGCAGTGGGCATAGAGTGTGTCCTTGGCTGCCAGTGTTACTGAAAAAAAGTTTTTGTTAACTCCTCTGACTGAAGTCAGATTCTCTGTTCAGTGTTCACACAGTTTTTGTCAATTGCAGGCAGTGCCCATTGCCCTTTCCAGAGCTCTCATCTTAGCCCACCTGTACCGAGAGCATGCACCCCACCCTCGTGAGAGCAGCCAGCTGGCTGCAGTCCTGATAGCAAGAGAGCTAGGGAGGGAGGGAGGTGGCCCTCGCTGTGCCTCTCTCTCCTTCTCTCCAGGAAAATAAGGGAGGTGAGTAGCAGAAACAGATAACATTCACACAGGCAATCCAAGTACCAGCACATCAGCACTGAGATGATGATGGCCTCACTCACAGCAAGCAAGCCCCTCGATTGTGGCTCACACATCCCTCCAGTGGGCTAGGCAAAGGTCTAGTGGAGAAGAAGGGGACTGTCCCATAGCGTCCGTCACAGTCAAGTCAACAATGAGAACAGTTAACACACTACACACAAGACCAAGGGCACTCGAAAAAACTTTGCCCCAATGAGACAACCAACAAAGCTCCAAGAACAATGACGGCCTGATATGTTCTAGGCAGAGTGACCCTCCAGGCTCAATCACACCAAAAACAATCCAGACTCGAGGATCTCTGTCCTTGATCAAACAGACATCAGGGGCTTCCAAATCCCCATCAGTCAGACATGCACCTTCTTTCTTGGAAGAGAAGGAGAGAGTAAAGTAACAATGACTACAATAAAACACAAAAAACATAAAAGGACTCTGACAATTTCCCAGGACAAAATACAAAGTGGCACTTCCTCCCACCCTGGGGGAGATACCCAAAGATACTCCTAATGACTTCTCCTGAGCACTCCCTGGAGGAGACTCCTGAAACCAAATGGTCACCTCTGAGGTGGCCCCAAATGGCTTAGGACCAGGGGGTCCCTTGCCCAAACTGGGGAACGAGATGTCTCTCATTCCCTCCAGGTTCACTGTCTAGACACATCTGTCCCAGTGAGAGCCTGCAAAGTACAAATTGATTGACCGGTATAAAACAAAAGTAACAAGACAGAGACACAGACAAGACAGAGAGCGCTCTTACCGGTAGATGACAATGAACCTCTGGACCCTTGAGGGTCCCGGTGGGGCCTCTGGGGTTCTCGGTCAGGGAACCAAATGTTATACCCAGATCACAACCCCAAAGAGACCACTGAAGACCATGAATGTCCAGAATGCAACAGCAAGGTATATTCTATAGATACAACTCTAGACAGGGAACTCATTCCTACACCCAATAGAGTGAGGCAAGGAGGAGTTGCACTTTCTTTGTGAGGCTAGTTATTTAAAGGCAGTAGGCCTGCTCTTTTCTCTCAGCCCATACAGGATGAAGGACAGAGAGTAGCCAGGAATGATGGCTGCAGTTGATATCTAAAGAGAGAGCTGGGCCTGTCTTCTACTCACCTCCAACTCCAGAGCTGTGCCCAGACCAAAATCTGGGATGCTACCCACCACCAACTTTAGGATCTGGTCTGCCAGGAGAGACAAGGACTGACCTTTTCCCTTCTGGATCCTGGGGAGCCCTAAAAGAAAGCAGACTGTTTATAATCAGCCTCCAAGACAGCTGGATGTGCAGTAAGAATGAAGGACTCTTGAATGTGCTGCTTAGGTCTCTGCACTCTACTGTGAGTTTTAAGGGGCATGCAGTAGTAAACAGGAAGATGTCCTGGGGGCTTGTGTTTATACTAGGCCTAAAAACAATGTAGCTTTTCTCTGACCTCAAAAGCCTAATCCACAGGCAAAACCCTGATAGCCAAAGAGAACAACAGGAACACGATCCCCGTGTCCCTGTAGTCCAGGGCATGATGTCTCCCAAAGGCCTGACTCCCCAGCACAGGGTGACAGTCCTCCAGTCCTGCCCTCCCCATCTTTGTAGACAACTGCTGCTCCCCAGTCTTAGTGAGAGGGCCTGGGAATGTCCATCTGGACCACACACTGACCTTAGTGCCCATTGGTCCTCTTGACCCCACCAAGCCCATCACACCCAGATCTCCTTTTCCACCCCAAGGCAATTAGAAGATGGAAAAGGACCACAGTGACAGTTCTTCCAGAAACAGAAACAGGGCTTGTAGGAAAAACTGGGATGGAACCAGGGTCTGGGTTATAAACTTGAGTTCCATATGCTCCTTTACCTCCTCTTGGTGCTCCACTCTCCATCTTTCATTGTGGGCATTGAGATTAAATAAAGAACAAAAATGCCCAAGATAATACAGATCACCAAACTAAATACCCACTAAGAAGCTATAAAGGGTGATGTTTGATCTTTTCCTGGAAAGGGTTGTGAGAGGGTTGGGAGACAGTGTGAGGGCCTCAGAAAATAGGCTGGCCACACATAAAAATTCATTGCCTGATTTGCTTTTTGCATAGGGTGGGCCTTTCAGACATCTCATTATACTCTCACCCCCAGTTTGAAGCCAAGCAGGGGGAAAAATCAGCCTCTGGATAGATAAATGGCAGGGGGTGGTTAACAAGTAGGGTGGGTTCTGTTGTGACTCAGAGTAAGCGTGAATCTTTTTTTATAGTATTTTTATTTTATAATTAACTTAATTTCACATATCAGCCACGGATTCCCCCATCTTCCCTCCTCCCACCTCTCAGTCCTCCCCTCCCAATCCACCCCCCAATCCCACCTCCTCCAAGGCAAGGTCTCCCCTGGCGAGTCAGCCCAGCCTGGCAGACTCAGCCAAGGCAGGTCAAGTCCCTTCCTCCCCTTACACCAAGGCTGAGCAAAATGTCTCAGCATAGGCCCCAGGCTCCAAAAAGTCAACCCATGCACCAAGGACAGTTCCTGGCTCTACTGCCTGGGGCCCTCCCAAACAGATCAAGCTAATCAACTGTCTCACTTATCCAGAGGGCCTGGTCCAGTTCCATGGGGGTTCCTCCACCATTGGTTCTCAGTTCATGCATTTCCACTAGTTTGGCTATTTGTCCCTGTGCTTCCTCCAACCATGGTCTCAACATCTCTCTAAGCTGGAATCTTAAGCATTCTCTATACTACAAAACTGCATGCCACCTCTAATTGTAGAGATACAAAGTCAACTATATGCTCATTGGGGGGTTAATTTGTGGGGTTTTTGTTTTTGTTTGTTTGTTTTTGCTTTTTGTTGTCATTATTTTTATTTAAGGCAGGATCTTGTGTGTCCCTGGCTGGTCTCATTTAAGTGAAGATGGCCTTGGACAGATGCTCCTGCATCCACCCACTGAATGCTAGGATTATAGGAAATGAATCACCACTTCTGACTGCATATTCTGAATTTTGAATATCTTTATAAATTACCTTCAATGTAAAACTAAGCAAGTGAAATTAATTTTGCTAGTATTTTTACTTTCATTTAATTTGTCACTTCAACATGTAATCACTGTAAAATAATGGGAAAAAAGGAAAAATTGAAATGTACATGTTGCATGCTGAGGATCGAGGTTAGGGGTAGAGCACTTATCTAGCATGTACAGATGCTGGGGCTTATAAGAAAGAATGAAGGAACCAAGGTACAGGAACCTGCTACATAACTGCTGGAAGTATAGCTATACAATGATGCAGCCACTAGCACCAGAGTATGCACAGCATTTATAATAGAGAAAAGGTAGAAACCCCAGATAACTACTGCTTGATGAATGGGAAAACAAAGGGTGGTGTGTTAATACAATGGTCAAGTATCTAGCCATGAAAAGGGGTAGAGTACTGCTACATCCTATAACATGAATAAACATCACAGACATTAAACTCAGTGAAAGAAGCAAAATGACAGAAGAATGGGATAGTTCCCTATTAGCTGGTTTGATTTCTATTAAACACCCAGAACGAGAAACCTGAAGCAGAAAGTTAGATTGGTAGCTGATAGGGGGTGGGGTCTGGAGGATGAAGAGTAACTACTGGTGAATAAATGGTTTCATTGAATGACAAAAATGATTTAAAATCAGATAGGGTGATGATTGCATACTTTTAGAACATACTAAGAAAACACTACTAGATTGTATACTTTAATAGGGTGAACTTAGATAAGTGTATTGCATTATTATTTAAAGATTACATTTATTTCATGTGTATTATGTTTTCCCTGCATGCATATTGTACACTGTGTACATGTCTGGTGCCTGTGAAGATACAAGAGGGTGCTGGATTCCCTAGAACTGCATTTACAGATGGTTGTGAGCTCCATGTGGGTGCTGTTGTGGGTCACAGGGTTTGTAGCTGAGAGATATTGAGGATTACCTTTCTCTCCAGTACAGACTGCCTTCCAGTACCATGAACTCTGGTTAGTAGGTGAAGAATCTAGTTAGACGTCAGCTGAATTTCTCCATGTTCAATGACAGAAGTGTTACCTTCAGAAACAAGACCTTAACATCAGGTTGTGCAGAGACACCAACAGCCTTGGAAATACCCTGTGCTATTTGGAGGGTTCTGTGGGTCCCTTTGGTTAAGGACTCAACAGGCTGTACACTGTTCCTGGCACAGGAGGTTTAAGATAGTGGCATAAGATGTCTAATTGGAGCCTTGTCAAATCTATTATGTTTTGAGCCCATTTAGATTCCTTTCACATATGTATAGGAAGCTTCTGGGATAGTCAGTTTCCATACAGTTTTTCAAAGGGTCTGCAGTGTTGATTGTCCCTGCTCATATTCCCTCCTTTATCCTTCTCTCCCATCTTCCTCTAATTAAACCCTCCTAATCTAGTGTTCATTTATATCTTCATAACACTATAGACTATTCCCTTCCTTGAGAGATACTCTCCTCCCTTCTGGTCCCTTACCAAGTACCAAACCTCTGTGGTTATTCAGATTGTAGTTCCCATATCAGAACTTTTAAAGGAAAAAACAAAACAAAACAGTATTTGTCTTTTTGGGTCTGGGTTGGCCCACTCAGGATGGATTTTTTTTTTCTATCTCCATCAGGCCAGTCTTAGGGAGGTATTTTCTCATGGCTACAGGACTATAAGGACCTGACCCACCAACCAACTCCCCCAGTGTTTTGCTTTGGAGGTCCTGCAGGTAGCTCTACTACAAAATTCCAGTTGACAGTGCTTTGCGCATGCTCTGAGCATGGTAAGCTTTCGTTACTGGAGTCTGACATGGGCATGCGCAGAGCACGCGCACGGGGTTCACAGTTGCTGAGCATCATTGTGTGCCAGAGTAGCTGTGTTGTGAAGGACACACTGAACCAAGGATCTGCGCTAGCAGGATGGTCCTGTGTGTCAGTGGCAAGAATTTAGCAATGTTTTAAATTTTTAGTCTACCAGTGTTCTATTTTTTTCTGTAGGGTTTTGGGAGGGTGCGGGTAGGTGGGGGCGGGGGAGGGGAGGCAGGGAGAGCCTGCACAGCCATAGGGCTGAACATGCAGGAAGACATCAACCCAGATGCCCTTAGTATTCAAGCCCCAAAGCGGGCTCGCTGGTACATCTGCCTGTGACGACGACGCAAATTTCCCCTCTACTTGATCGAGTATGACCCAGTGGGGAAGGTACAAAGGGCGGCCAGCGCGGGGGTCTTGGCTTCAATAGAACGACTGATCAACTGCCATGGATACCGCGTGAATGGCCAGTACACAAGGCGCAGGTAATGGGACCTGGGGAGGGGAGAGGGCCAGCAGGGACAGGAACTGTTGGTGACAGTCAGGGCAACTAAGGAGAAACACACCTTCCAGGACTGTAACCTGAGGGAGGGGAGAGGTCATGCTTAGGCTCTTCTTTCACTGAGCCCAGTGGGGTTTGTGCCTGCTTTAGGCTTCCAGGCATCTGGGACCTGCCCAACTTGGAAGGGCAGCTCCTAGGCCTTTTTTAAGAGAAGCAAAACAAAGAACTTCAGTTAGTTTACAAATCCTTTTACATTGTCTCTTTTAGAGCACTTTATTGGGTGCTTTAAAGTGATTTAGCTAATGAAACTACATACATTTTATTTTTATGCGTATACTTAAAATTTTTTTTAGATTTATGTAGATGAGTGTTTTGCCTGCATGTATTTCCAGTGCACCACGTGCAAAAGAACGTGTTGGATCCCCTGGAACGGGAGTTACGTACAGTTGTCAGTGCTAGAAATCAAACCCGGGTCCTCTACAAGCAAAACTAGAGTTTGTAAACACCAAGCCGTCTCTCCAGCCCTTAATGGATATTTTTTAATACTATGTTATATATAACACAGAAAATTGTAACATGAGATAAATTTTTACATAAAATGTCAACTTTAAGCCCCCCCCCAAAGAATCACTAAGAAATCTTACATTAGTGGGATCCCTGTTTGCTGAGGGATCATATAAGGAAATTTTCAGTTGGAACTATGACTCTGACCCCCACTCCCTTGAGTACATGTTGTATGTGTGTTGGTACATATGTGAAGGCTATAGGTTGACATTATCTTCCTCAGTTGCTTTTCATCCCATTAACAGAGTGGTATGTGTGTGTGCACATGCACCCCACACACCTGCAGGTAAGTATGTGAAGGTCAGAAGAAAGCTATATTTGAGAGTTGTATTCTGCCATATTGTGGGTTCTGGGGGTTGAACTCAGGCCATCAGGTCTGCTGGCAGGTCCCACCACCTGATGAACCACCTTGTGCTCCCTACACCTCATTTTTTGAGGCAGGTTCTCTCACCCAAATACCCACTAGGTGTGATTTATTGTCTTGCAGTATACTGATTCAGCTTAACTTGCAGGCAAACAAGCTTTGGGGATCCTCCTGTATCCACATCCCCAGCACTAGATTTTCAAGGTGCTGGGGGTTCTGAACTCAGGCCCTCAGGCTTGCACCCCCAGCCCTTCTTTTCTGTTTCTTATTTCACACTATGTTCTAAAGGGGAACCAGAGACACTCAACAGTAGATTTTCCATAGCCCATATGCTTCTTGATAATCTCTGTAGTTCTGAGTGATTACTTAGTCTTCTAAATGAGAGCATTATACAAATAATAGAACAATAAATTATATTTTCAAAATATTCTTTGCTTAACAAAATACATTCTTTAAAAACACTAAATTTTCCAACTGTATTTATCCATTCTGTCAATCCATTTATTCCCCACATGGAACTTAGACATCTCCTATACAGCATACACATTCTACTATCTCTCAAGACCCTCTCATTCTTAAAATGTTTATTTTTATCTGCCCATTCACCCTCCTTACATTCCATAAATTTAAATATTGAATACAAAGACCCATGTTCATTTGAATCCTGATTTTCTTTTGGCTTAAAGCTTTTTGAAAATCAAAGCAAGGGAGCTATGATGCAGTGGGTTATCTCCTTATAGAGATATTTGCCCAATTTTGGTGTGATGGACACATTGGAGGGTTTAAGGCAAAGCACTATGGCCTGCTTTGCTACCATTTGGTGTATGGATTATCAGGGACACTCTGTCTAATGTCTGAGGACTAGGCTGTGTCCCTGTTGGCAGCAAATATAGAAATATTACTTTTGGGCATTGAGAAATGAAAAAAATCAAAGTATCAATGACTGAGGATTTAGATTTTTGTTACTGCTATTTTCATCTTGTTTGCCTTTCATAGTTTTAAGAGCTAAAATTTACATAGATACATGTGACCTGTAGAATTGCCATGGGCCTGTGGATTGTATCATATTTCATTTTATATAAGGCACAGTGGACTGCATGATAACCTTTTATTTTGTATAGCAGCAAAGTTAAAAATATTGCCAATTGTAGTCATAAAATATCATGGCAGAGATTTTAGCAATGCTAAAATGTGAAATAAAGAGTAAGGTAGGCAGTGACACTGACCTGCAATCCTGCCTACTGGGAGGATTACCAAGTTCAAGACCATCTTGGGGAATATAGTTTTAAAATATTGTAAACATATTTGAATAAAAAAATTGTGTCTTCAGAGTAGGTAGAATTCTGTTATTTCTCTTTATTGGAATATTGTGTTTGTTATCAGTAGGAAGACTAATCATTATTGTATCTACCAAACACTGACTGTCAGGTGCTGGAAGCACTTGTCCATGCCCTTGAAGATGTGAATTGAAGCATCACAGTAGCACGATGTAAGATAGCTACAGTGTTGAATCCCCATCCTGTGCATGGGGAAATTGAGTTATGGAGTGCATAGGAAGCCTAATATATAACATATAATATTGCCAATTATAGTCATAAAATATCATGAATTATAAGTGGCAGAGATGTCAGCGATGCTAAAATGTGATATAAAGAATTAGGTAGGCACAGTGGCACTGGCATACAATCCTACTTACTGAATACTACTATATATAATATATAACTAGTTTATAACAGCAATTAGAGTACGATTTAAATCCAAGCTGAATTCAGTCTGTTGGGTGTTCTGTTATTCAGACAGACTGCTCTGAGGAAGGATGAAACTTGTGATAGAGCACTTACCTTAAATGGGTCGGCCATGCCTTATATCCCTAGCACAGCAAATGAACACTTGAGTAGAGAAATAAGTAAATAATAAAATTCCAGTTACTTCTCTTACATCAGAAGGAAATGAATTTTGCTATCTAGTATTTACACTTGAATGTGCCTCTATATTGTAAATTGTAATTTCCTAAAATATCCTTTCAATTTTTAGACATCACTCCATTATGCCTGTGCACATAATCATCCAGACGTGGTAGCATTGTTAGTATCCAAAAGGCCTCTATTGATGTCCAGGATGATGAAAGCTGCACACCCTTGATTAAGGTAGCTATTGGACAGCAGTTTTGGTATGAATTGGATTAGATCTTGTCCTTGTTTGATTTTTTTGTTGCTATGATAAAACACTGACCAAAACCAACTTGGGGGAAAAAAAATGTTTATTTGGTGCCCAATTCCACATCACAGTCCATCATGAAGGGAAACCAGGGCAGGAGATCAAATCAGAAACCAGAGGCAGGAACTGAAGCAGAGATCATGGGGGCAATGCTGCTCTTCCATGGCTTTTTCCAAGGCTTGCAGCTTTCTTATACTACTCTGGACTACCTGCCAAGCTGTGCAACCACCTCTAGGAAGCGGTGCCCTCCCACATCAACCTCAATCAAGAAAATGCTCCACAGACTTTCCCACAGCCCAGTCTGATAGAGGCAATTCCTCAAGTGAGGATCCCTCTTTCCAGGGATCTTCAGCCTGTGTCAAGTTAGCAAAACAAATGAACAAGCAACCTCCCTCACTATAACAGCAACCAACTAGTACTGATGAGATACTTCAATATCTAGGTGTTGTGGCATAGCCCTGAAATTCTACCACTTGAAAAACTTTGGTGGGGAGATTATGAATTTAGGCAAGACTGGGGTACTTAAGAAGACCCTGTCTCAAAAAGAGAGGGAAAATATTCATATCCTAAGCAATTTCTCTGATCTAAGTGTAACTATTCAATGCAATTTTAGAAATATTTATCTTGACTTTCTTGAATTGAAGATCTCTTTCTTTATACAATACCAACAGGCCACACAGAGGGACAATGAAGAATTCATAACTATATTACTGATTCAGGGTGCTAATCCCCACCTGAGGGATTTAAGTGGGAATACAGCCCTGCACCATGCCATTTCCAGAAACAACACAACAATTGCCAGAAAACTGATGGACTACAATGCAGATATTGAAGCAAAAACTGAGGTAAAGCTCATTCAATGTCATTCCCAATGTACTTCCAACAATGACGCTCAGATCCACCTATCACATTCCAAAGCTCAAGTAGTCTCAACGAATCTGGTCAGAGTAAAACATTTTTCTCCAAATATGTTTTTTACATTTTTATACATAGTTTAAAGGAACACAGCGCAGCCTATTTTGTTTCAGAATTGGGCTTAATTTTAAATTTAAATAAAAGATTTGCCCCCTGCCACACTTCACATACACACAAACAATAAAAATAAATTAATTTTAAAGTTAAATGTCTGTAGAATTAACAGATTTCTGTTGAAATTAAGAAGTTATTGATGTGGTTTGTCTCTCAGAGATAAGGCTGGAGTGGAAAATTAAAAAGGCCACAGGCACACAGGCAAATTTGATCATTGAAAAAAACCTACCAAGAAGACATTTTTTTTTTAATTTAACTTGTTCAAATTTTCTATGAACTTAGGGAATGCTATTCAGGCTGTGAGA